AATTCTAGAGAAAAGACAGCGTATGGATCGTATTGTATGCAATATTTGTTAAAGGCAAAAGTCAGGCTCGTGTTTGGGCATTATGGCGCCTGAAATTGAGTGTAGAGATGGGAGGTGGAACGACAGTGAAGAAAAAACGCAAAGAAACCGTCGACAAGACCGAAATCGAAACCCCTTCCTTCTAGCAGTGAAGGAGGCTTGCTCGGGGGAGAGCCACGTCCAAACGAGTTTTCCGGATATGCCAGCCGTTCCATCGGTTGATACGGCAATCAACCTAGCTGATCTCACACGTTAGGCCAGCCACGCACCACATCCCGCGGTGGGCGGGACCAGCTGATGAAACGAACCCATCGCTGTAAGTAGTAGGCCAGAGGCCTTGACGGCGCGCAATCTCGAGTCAGGAGTGTGGCATCACCCCTCTGAGCGCATTCCTGGAAATATTAGTGATGGAAAGGCCTTCTATGGTCACCTAATCCTGACTCGTGGCTTTAACTCCAATACATCGTAGAGCATAAATAGATCTATACGATTGCACGACTCGGCAACCAGAATGGGAAATCATGCTGATTCCGATTTCGACACCAAATGTACGATATTGGCCTACGAAAATGACATCGGTGCTAGGAAAACTCTCGAAGCTTTCTGGATAAAACTTCGTAATCCATATATGAATAACAGGAATGAATGCATCTCCATAACTGATGATTTCTTGCCCTACATCCCACTATGTGAGCTCTGATTAAGAAAATGTAACACACAGCACGTACGCACATATGGTCCGTCACATACGTTTCGGTGCCTATAACTCCATTTTGAGGCAATTTCTGACACAATGATGTCTTCGCAGCTTCTACGGCCGTTGCTCCTTTCCTAGCTAGCTCGCGAAATTTCACTCTCCTGATCATGGCGTGTGCCTTTAAGTTTAAGTGGTCTGAAACGGAGAATCCTGGTATTGTACGGAGCTCTCAGCGCACTACTTCTGTGGAATGCGTGAACGGTAGTCTCGATTTTTCCTTCATTTTGGCGTAGTAAGCTCTAGGGTGCTGGTGGAGTGAAGGATGAGTGATCTCTGCTGGATTCGACTCGGTTTGAACCTTTTGTTGAGTTGTGACTAGTTAGGAGTAGGTCGGCGTTGAGCAAAATAGGTTCTATTTAAGAAGTCTCGAAATACTTCCAGGCCTTTGAAAACGACGAATTAGTCGTAACACGGCTTAAAGGTTTCGTTACAAGGAAAACTGTGCGGCACAGAAGAATCGACAAAATACCAGTAAGATTTTCCGGTAGATCGCAATTTGTATTTGACTTATAGTTAACAGTTAATATGGTCTGTCTAACCAGCATGTGGCAAATTCCGCTTTTACGACGCCTGACACACTTCTCGTCTTCTTACTTTTTAAGCGTCTGTCCACTTGTAGGCGGGTCGCGCTGTATACTTAATATGTTGACTCCACTTTCACGATTAAATACTGCATCTCCACTTCGAAAATCATATGGCGACATTGACATTTGTGATGTGACGTGGGTGTTCGTAGGCCGGCCTGTCACGGGGGCCTGTCGCCTGCATTCGAATGTCCGTGGTTCAGCTCAGCTCACAAAAGTGAGCAGTTCCCAGTGGCACCACTTGGAGGAACGGACACCACCACCACGACCTATGGCGTACATTAGTGGGAAAATTTATTTAGTACGACATATCACCAAACAAATGTCTTTTTTCACGTTAGTTATCACTTCATTCTTTCGTCTTCACAAGAAGCCGCCTTGCACTCTTGCTCTTCTTCGTGTTCACAAGAAGCTGCACTTCGTTATTTCCAGACTGCCTACATTCATAGTGAATGCCGCCAAATGTCTTCTCTTCACCTTCGATCTGAAAAGTGGAATTTCGTCGCTGGGTTGACGTGAATGGATGGAGGTATTGGGTAACACGGCAGCATGGCAATATTAGAAGGCAAGGTACGGCCATTGAACTAGTTTGCGCCATTGGACATGATTGGTTCGAAAGGGTAACCTTCGTATTTTTCAAACGAGGAGGTCGCATTTGTATTTTAAAACGAGAAGGGGGTTGTGTTTGGGCGGGTTTTTCGTCGAATTTGGTAGAGAATGTTACGAAAGCAGTGAAAATTAGACAGAATTGGTGGATTTGTCGCTTTATGACACCAAGTTGGCTGTGGCGACTGTCTCAGAAACAAAGGAGGAAGGGGTTCGTATTGGGAGAGTCTTCTGACACTGATGGTGGTGGGTTATAGGTGAGGGGAGTGGGACGCATCAAGACCCTCTTGAAGAGGGGGGGGGTCGCAAAATTTTCAAATAACGCGAACGTAACGAGTTGACTTGGTCTGCCATTGCAGATGTCGCGCTACCACCGCAAATCCAAAATGCATTATTAAGACCCTAGACGCTGAGGACTTTGATCCCACCAAAGAGAATCAGGTCGCCCCCCCCCTTACCGTAATACATCTAATGTGCGTCGTGATCTTGATTTGCTATGCTCCCTCTACATACTTGGACTTTTATACCCTCTCCACGACTAACACGGAAAAGTGCGATACGGTATACCGCCGGTGGGCGGGCCGATCAGCAGTAGGTCGAATTGGCCAGCAGGTTTATGACTGACCACCCCATTTTTAAGGCGACTTTTGGAACAAGGATGTCTTCTCAGCTTCTATGGCCCTTGCTCCTTTCCAGCTAGCTCGCAAAATTTTACACTCTTGATCATGGTGTGTGCCTTTAAGTTCAAGTGATCTTAAACGGAGAATCGTGGTATTGTACGGAACTCTCAGCGCACGACTTTTGTGAATATGTTGTTGGGGTAATCACTAATAATGGTATAATTTTTACCAATGTAAGAATAAATAAGCATTATCTCACTTCTTGATACCACTTTGTCAAGCAAGCTACTGGAATAACGCTGAAGCCATTAGTACGTTTGACACATTTCATCACAAAATAACCTGAGAGCTGAAAATGAACAATCATTCTCTACTGACACTTTTTCCGTCAGAACCTTGCCAGTGCTCTCAATTAGTGAACATGAGCCGTGATCCTATCCTCGTAGTAAGTCTGCGCCCTCTCGTACAGCGTGCTCTCTCGCTTTCTTCTCGCTTCACTGCGCGCTGTGTCTCTTCATCGTGTTACGGCCCATCTCACAAAAATCACGTCATTTCAGTGTTTCTGATGGCTTCTTTTGCCAACGCTTTCCGTACTTCCAGCTTCATTAATGAACGTACCCACAAACCAACTCTATCCACTAGTGTGCCTTCAAAAATTGTGAGATTTATTACTTCTCTGATTAGTTTTCTTCAATCCATTTGTACATAGAGAGTTGTGTGAGTTCAGCTTCAGGCGCTCCTGGCTTGGGGGGGGGGTTACCTCAGGGCATCCGAAAAGTGCGATGAGGTGACAGTGGGAGCTATACCCATGGTAGGGGCGAAACGCCAAGAGTAACAAAAATAGCTCACATTCAGAATCCCTTCCCTCTTCACGGCCTAGTTCCACGTATTGCCTACTGGCTCACTCACTTAAATTCCCCTCCCCCCGTGATGACGTGAGCACCCATTTTTATTGCTTAGCAAAAATTGTATACTCCCTTTCAAAAACGAGAAGAGCGTCGGGTGCAGACCATACACCACAAGTGACGACGGCCTCCACAAAATGTAAATGTTTTCTGCCAATGAAATGATTAGCCTGTTGCAGTTGTATTCTATCAGTTGTCACTAATTACAACTATCATTTACCAAAATCAGCTATCACTATGAACCACTACTAACCAGATTTACTTGGAGGCCGTCGTCACTTGTGGTGTATGGTCTGCACCCGACGCTTTTCTCGTTTTTTGAAAAGGAGAGTACATCCAAAATTAGGCCGATGTCAGACTTTGCGAATCGCGCGATTCGCTAGCGTCCGCGGTCGCGTTGCGGTACCAGCCAATTGAGTGATTCACTGGCCGCGACGCGACCGCAGACGCTAGCGAATCGCGCGATTCGCAAAGTCTGACATCGGCCTTAGAGTGCCAAATTATCACTGGCGGAGAGTTCTCTTGCAATTCGGTCTTGGTCACTTCCTGGCTCTTCACAGTTGAAAAATGAAGAGAATTTAAAATGCGACAAAGTAGATTACAAATTTCGTATTGAAGTCGTATTCTTTTCCCCCGAATTCGCATTTTGTAGGGATCTCCACACGAAGGGCAGGAATCATCGTTACCGGCACCATCAGCAAAATCAGAAGCCTTCTGAAATATCAGTTAGGATTCTTTTGACCAAGAACCGGCCGAATAGTAGCCGAAAGTTCAAAAAGTGTCTGTAGTCGCAAACAGGGTCAATTGAGCACGGCTGCGATAAGCTAACTCAGGAAGGACGCTGACGCAGGATAAGGAGGGGGCATGGTCTGAACTAAGCAAGGACGATCTGGAGAGGCTCATGCCCTGGGGGGAGCGGGGGGTCATTCAAAGAGCCGATGGTAGGTGGGACTAGGACTAGCCAGCAAAGGGGAGAAACGCCAGGGAGAACACAAATTGCTCACATGCCCTCAAGATCCCTTCCCTCCCTAGGTTAGTCCAAGCACAGTAATGGCTCACTCACTTGAATGTCCCCTCTTCCCCCCCCCCCCCAAGGACATGAGCGCTGGGCTGGAACTTTGGGGAAAATTAAAGCTGGCCTTACTGGATGACCTCCCTCTGCTTAAGACGTTATCCCTTTTCAAGAAAAAGCATGATAATTCAAGTAGTTGAATACATTGCCACTTCTATGCCCCCGTAATCGTGATACACCCCAGGAAGCAGAAGAGCAGGATGGAGGCCTCTCTACTCGCCAAACGCAATACTAAAAGGCAGCGAGCGCGATCGCTGGGGGGGGGGGGGAGATTTTGGGTGGAGGTCGCATGACTGGGTGGAAAGGGTGCTAGGAGGTGGTCCAAACCGCGCCCTCGAGAAAAAGTGAATGACAGTGCGAGAGTAGTGCCGAGAGTGAACGTGCGCGCGGAGAGCACGGACGGACTCGCGGCGAGTGTGAATGTGGGCGCGGGAGAGCGTAACTGATCAGGCGAAAATCCTCGACAAGCCGTTGAGGAATCCTCGACCGATATTCACCCTGCCTTGAGGCGTGTCGTCCACCAATGACGTCTAAAGACCTCACTAAAGCGCTCCACCCCTCGGCCATCGTGATCTCTGCCTTTGATCTGGATCTACCACCGCCTCTACACGATCCTACTATCGAATTACAATTCCAGCTGGAGCTTCCATTTCTGCGGAGCCGCAGTACACAGGCTGGTCGGATAAACTTTCGCCCATTGTGCTTCGAAAGAAGTGGGAAAGACAATTTGGCTGTCCTGCAACTGTGAACATGCCTACTGTGAAGACCAGGGAGAGAATTTGAGACGAGAAATGCATTCAAAGCGACTAAGGCGAGGCTCTCGCATGTTCGGCTCGCCTTCTGATTCCCACGCATCGACCGATCCTATCGTTTTATCCCTTTGCACTCTAGCCTTGCTCACGCTAACCAAAGCCAAAATTATCATGGATCTGGTTCAGCTCGGCGAATAACGAGAACACAACCCACATTTTCACAGATTAGCCTAACCCATTTTTGATGCCGCGGGACCCGTCCTTTCAAAACCCACCTACGACCAGGGTCAACCGTGACGTTCGCACTTTTTCAGAAATTTTGCGACCCCCTCCTTTTAGGGGGTCTCGATGCGACCCCCACCACCACCATGAGACTCAGGAGGCTCCCCTAATACGACCACCCTTCTCCCTACCCCGACCACCACCCTCGCCTGAATGACTGTTTCTAGTATTTGATTCTGAGACCAGTCGACACAGCCCAACTCCGCCCACTTTTCCCTCTAAAAGTCGAGGGGGGCCCAACCAATTACTAATTCCACTCAACCCCTGACTGCGACCCCCCTTCCCAAAATCGTCCACAATTGCGACCCCCTCGTTCGAATAGTGCAAACGCACGGTTGACCCTGCCTACGAAATTGGGGTGAAGTTTTGACGAACGAAGTTTCGAATGGAACTGGGCGCCTATTGTTCTGAGGGAGAGGACATTCTGGAACAGGGAACCCAAAACATTCAAAGGGCTAGGTTCAGGACCGATTCTAGGACGGGGGTAGAGAAGATACTCCAAGGTGCACGAGCGTTTTTCGTTCAGATTCTCCACAGTCACTGCGATAGCTCCTTGAAACGGAACTAGCCTCAGTTTGTTGAGGCGAGTAGGGGTGCAAGCCATCCTACACCACTCACCTTTCCATAGTCTCTGGAGATGTAGTTGATGTAGAAACCAAGCAATCAAGAGAACGATGAAACGGAAATGAGGCCTACTAGCTTCTCTCTCAGGATGATCAACATTCTGAGATAAGGATTATATCACTGCAAGAACTAGTAGAACCACAAGATTGTAAGTGTCATTGACTTTGCGGCCGGTCTCGCACTTCTACCAAAATGAGCAGTGTTTAGAGTAGGCGTGATTAAGCGATTAATCTCTGCCGTAAGGAAAGGGATAGGTATCGATTGGGCGACAAGGCGACCAGGCGATTAGACGATTGCTTGCTGAGCGGATCAAACAAATTGATACGTAGCTTTGAAGGGGCGAATCCGCCACCATCGGCCATATGAGGCCGATGTCAGACTTTGCGAATCGCGCGCTTCGCTACTAGCAAGTTCGCGCGATTCGCCGCTGTGGTACAGTCCACTTGATGATTCCCATTGGCGACGCCTACCGCTAACGAATCGCGCGCATATCGACAAGAGTCTGATCGCCGCTGAAATAGTCGTTACAATACAGTATATTGAATAAGACTATAGGTATAGATTAGGCGATTAGGCGATAGGCGATTAAGCCGATAGCGATTAGGCGGTGGAACACTACACACGTATCGATTGGTTTGCCCCGTTCACAGAGCGCTGTAGGCGAGTGGGCGAATTAGGCGAGTAAGCGATTAGGCGATCGCTCAGTGGGCGGAGCAACAAATCAAACGTCCTCCCTTATCGTTACTCGCTACTCGCCTACTCACCTTACTGCCTACTCGCCCAGTCGACTTACTCGTGCCAATGGCGCCAACTGAAACCTGTACGCATCGCCAAACTTGAAATACTCCATAAGAAGCAGATAGATGTGTATATCTATTAGGGTTTTGCGGAACCACCAAAATAATTATACCAGTTATAATCAATGTATTTCAGACCTGACGAAGGTGTTACACACAGAAATATCGCGGAATATTCAGAAAGGAGTTTATTGACTTCGTTTTTTGTGGCTAGAATTTTTCGATACGTTGGAAGTTGTTGCTGAACATTTGAAATTCTGTTTCAAGATAGTCTTTGGTGTCGCTTTGTTGATTTACTACAACCTTATTGTGCTGATGACTTACTGGAGATGGTGCTGTGTTTCTTTGACTTGATAAAAAATCGATCTGTGTCGATGTTTTGCAATAGCTGTGGTATGCGGGCCATCTGTTTGTGGTCAATTTATTCGTAGGCTCTCGTCTCAGCTCACAAAGTACATCCAGAAAATAAATGTGGCATCGTTGTGTAGGCGATTTGTCGGTTGCTGGTCATACGTCGCACATCTGGCATTGTTCAATCGAAGGCGGACATCTTCACTTTAAGTAGAAATCCGAGGGCGAAGAAAAGGTTTTCGCCGTCTGACTAGCCCTTTCGTAATGTGCGAAGTTATTACGAAAAACCTAACGGTCTGCTCGCTGCCTCAATCTAACGATCCTATTCATTCTTTTTACATACCTGTGGTTTATAGAACCACGTGTTGTTTGTGGAGTGACGTCGTAGCACTGGGAAAGTGGGAGTAGAAGAGCGGAAAAGAAAAGTATCTAAAAAACTCAGAAGTCCTGTGTTCTATCGATTTGAGCGACAAAATTACGGCTAACCGCGCGATTTGCTACTTATATATAATTCACAGTCCAACCTATAGACGAATAAAACGCCTACTCATTTACGATATTCATGATCAGAAATCATTCATTCTTTTTGAGGTTGATTGGCAAACGGTGACCGGTTTATAAAAAAGGATAAAGCGTTTACCCTGATTAATCCCTTTTTGGGATGCGGCACGCATTCTACTTCCATTTGTACATTCGTAGTGGCGTTTGAATGCGATGTGGCCTATACAATGACTTGCGGGGGCCAGCCGATGTACAAGTCAGTGTTTTTATCCTCCCAGACAAGTCTGGTACCAATTAACCGACCCCGGAGGGATGGAAGGCTTGGTTGGCCCGGGCGACTCACGACCCAGGATTTGATCCCCGGACCGCTCGCGTGGTAAGCGCGCCACTTGTCACTACACCACTTCCGCCCACGGTGATCGATCCTTGTGACATCTAATCCTTTTACTCCTTCTGCGTTCTCCTCACAAGAGGGCCAGACTTAGACACTAAGGCCAACTTTTTGCCGCAGGTTAATTGTGCCTCAACCCCGACCAGGGTCAAGCGTGCGTTGAGGAATCCTCGACACGTCACAGGGGGGGGGGGTCGTATTGGCCCGCTGGGGGAAGAGATCGGGCCGATTGATGCAGTAGGATCATCACCGTCGGAGGACAAACATCAAGGATCGAGTCGATGCCAGGCCAGAGGATTTCCAATGAAAATGATATTTCACCCACACAAAATTTTCGTGATTCTGAGGCGTCCGGTAATTCTTAGTTACTTCAGTGTTTTATCACCACACAAGTTAAAGAATCTGAATTTCGCACGCTTTCCAAGGGATATTTTATCTTTCAAGTAAGTCCTCGAATCTGAAGGGATGTGAAGTACACGGCGCATCCCAGAGTGGGTCCAGTTGTTGCGCGCGCTTCAACTACGGCTCCTTGGACAAACAATCTCAATTCAGGAAAAATCGAGAGGATTCTGAAAGTGTCCGTGCGCAATTACAGGGAGGTGTACACCATTCAACATTGCGTTAACGGACTCTTCAGGGTTAAATTTATAAACATGTAACCTTTAAAGTTGAGAAACGCTAATCAATCACTTTTCTTAGAAAGAGAAAAGCAGTGATTCCAAATCTGCTCTTACTTTAGTACATAATCGCCCTTAAAAGGATATACAGCCGTTGAAATAGTGCCAATGTAGCGAAAAAGTACCTTTCGGCGGTACTCGGGCAAAAATCCTCAACGTGGCCATTTTTTTAATACTGGACGTTTGGAGCAGTTCTAGTAAGCATTTGATAGAGCAAATCTTCTAGTTTATGATGACGTATTAACTTTTCAGATTGGATGAGTTTGAACGGAGTTATGGCTTTGGAAAGCGTAAAAACTCGCACTCATCACGAATTTTCCTCGTTAATTTTGCAAAAATCCTCAACGTGGCCATTTTTTGAATACTGGACGTATAAAGCTGCTTTAGCAACGTTTGATAGAGAAAATCTTCTAGTTTTGTATGCCATATTAACTTTTCAGATTTGACGAAAATGAAGCAAGTTATGGCTTCGGAAAGTGTAAAAACTCGTGCTCATCTCGAATTTTCCTCGTTAATTGATCTAAATTTGTTATTTCTTATAACTTTTTGTAATTTCAGTACTGATTAGAAAAAGCTCTTCACAAAACTCCCAAATCTGCTTTCAGATTGAAAATTCGTTAACTTTGAAGAAAGTTATAATCATTTGAATATTTGTTCAAATTTCAATAGTAAATAAGCTGCTCCACGGTCAACGCCAAAGTCCAGTCAACACACAGCTGACGAAGGCGTTTACAAGGCTTCTTCCAACCGAAAGAGGGACGTGTAAATTGAGAACCATAGTCTGTGTACTAGAATTTGGTAAGTTTTGTGGAGGAAATAAATAAAGGACAGATGTTGTCATAGTATGCCATTTTTAGTGGCTAGTTTGTCGTTTTTTGGTCTGTTTCTCGTTTGCTCGTTTGGTAGGACTCATCAATAATGATCATTCTTTGACTTTTTTTTTTGTACTTCTTAAACAAATTTTTTTTTGTGGACGGTGGGGTAGCGGCTTTTTTATGAGCAGTTTAGTTTTGGGGGAGAATTAAACAACCTTTTCATAGTTCGGCTTTTGAAGAGGGTTGTTTCATGGACTTTGACCTCCGGCGGAGGGAGGGGGGGGGTCGTATTTCCAAATTTTCCTCGAACGCCTCGCTTTGACCCTGATAC